ACTGGGTGCCAGGCAGAATGGGATCCCTCCCTACTGGACTCCCGTTGCAAGCGAAACGGGCCTCGCCGCAGCTGCCAGAGACGGAGTGGAGTTGGGGATCTGGGCGCATGCTGCACATGCTCATGATGGAGTCAAAAAGGATCTAGAGAAACACACGACATGTCAATTTCCTCGGTGTTTAATTCACAAGACAGCATGTTCTTGGAATCACCAGTGAGTGAAATACCCATGAGTCCTTCATAGTCCTTCCATCCTTTGTATATACAAAGTTGATCTAAAATTTGATATAACCTTCCAGATATGGATGACCTGTTCTACAACCTCATGCACCCCTGCGTGCACCCCCCATCTCGCAGGCCCCCCAATCCATCCGATCCCCCAAGAAACACATTGACATCACGAATTCGATCTATTTGGTACATGTATACGATACTGTACCTTAAGCAAGCCTAGAAGATAGGACCGGCGCCCACCATTTTTGGGTCCGCCCCAGGAGGACCCACGCCCACGCCCTTCCCCCACGCCGCCGGGCGTGCGCCCAAACAACGTTCGACTCGTAGCGGGCTTTGATGGGATGCACGAGGTTCCGGTGCATGCGGCCTCGGGCTTCTTCGGTATCTTGGTGGTGGCCTTCTGCCGCCCCGACTGCAGTGCTCCTTGATGCGACCGAGTTCGCGTTGTTCGCGCGCGTGCACGCGATGGAGGACTCCGCGGCGTGAGGACCGCGTTTAGGACGCGTTGAAGGACTGCTGAGGAGTGCTCTTGGTTTGCCAAAGCTTTTTGAGGGGAATGGATTGGCATGAGGGGCATGCGGCATGATATATGAGAAGTTGATCCAAGAAAAGGATTGTGGGAAACAGATTGGTCAGCTGATCTCATTTGATTGGTCGGATTTGTCATGAGGTTGTACCTCACTGCGCTGAAAACAGTGTGTCGAAGAACCCTCCATTTCGCCATCATCCCATACTGTTTGCGAGTCAAATTTCAGAGATTTTGCTGGCCAATTAAAGGAGGTTGTGAGTGGTTTCCTTGCCGAAGGCGCCCTGTTTCCTCGATTGCTTGATATTATCTAGTAATATATATATATATATAGGTCTACAGACAGGTCTGTTTGTGATTGGACTCAACAGTTGGGACTTTTTCATGACGAAGAAAGACTTCCTCTACCCCAAAGCCGTAAGCCTTGCTTGCAAGACGTGAATGAAAGCTCCCCCGCCTCTTCGGTTGTTCAGGCCGGCGATCTCATGCCGACCTTCACTCCCAAAAGATCTCATCAATCCCTCGAGATGCCAACAGAGGTTAAGTGACCTTGTAGGACCTGTGGGGTACCTATGGGATAGTCTATAGGGTTCTTCAACCTCTGGTGCTGCATGGATCAATTCTGACCCATTGATCTCTGAAACCAGCTCAAAACAGGCCGGATTCCGGTGGCCACCGACGGATCGAGCCAACCCGACTCGGGACTCAAGGCCCTGCGCGAGATCGGCTTGAGCGAGGCAGGAGTCTAGAGAGGAGCGCCTGTTGGACAGGAGTCTGGAGGGGTGTGTTTGTTGGACAGATTTAGAGTCAGGCAAGTAGTCAGGCCATTTTGGCAGTTCCAACACCGCAGATGCGCGACACGTGCAACGTCACTTCCACGGACACCACGGGGCATTTGCAAGGATCTGATGGTCTTGAGTCGAAGAACAATCATTTGGGAGAGCCTTTCAGACACTGATGCTCAACGCCTACGCCGTGATGTGCTGTCAATGCTGTCTGAGTCGTAACTTGCCTATAGCTATCGCTGCATGTTTTCTTCCAAGTAGTCCAGGTTGCTTCAAGAATTTGGCTGTAGCTTCAGACACAGGATCATATGTCCTTTCCATCAGAGCATCCGTGAGAAACTGGTGAATGGTCATACTTTGCAGCTAGCAATGTGCCAAATTCACCCAGCATGTTCTTATATGTTCTTATATACCGTTCTGTCAGAAGACAGAGCAACAAGAAGACCCCATAGAATGCTCTGCTATTTTCCGCATTAGACCCACGTGTTTTCTCTCAGCTTTCCAGTTCGACCGGCTTTTTCCAGAATGGAACATCTAGAGTAGAGGTAACTAACCAATGGACTTCACCCCTTAAAACTATTAGTGAGTTTGATGTACCAGCACCCTCCAACAGATCTCTTTTGGTGGCTTGTGGAGGAGACCTGGTAGAGGAGGGTGCTGGTAGATGTTCCGCTGACCGACTCCGCCAGGCCCAGCGCAGCTTCTGTGGTGCCTCACACGAAAAAGGGTACAGAACTCACCGGTGTGGAGTTCTTTTTCCCCAAAATTCTCATGAACCTTTGTTAGATGTCATTCATATATATATATATATGTCATTATGTATGAATAAGAGACACTTCGAAGCAGAATCGATACGTATACAGAAATGAAACATCACATAAGAACCTTCCCCCGGGAACTCCCAAAGATTGAATCAGCAGCAGAACCAGTTGTTTTTTGATCCGAAAGGATGCGGAAAAGGGTATGAATATAGTGGTATGAATGTGTGGACAGAACTGACCAGTTCTTCCTTCTTTTTCCAGGTGTTGAGTCATGTTCAGTCTATATACCATTATGTACTGGGCTTTCTGACAAGCTTTCCGAAACGTGCGGGTCCTTGATGGGTCCTTGAGGTGGGCCAATCACCAGCTCTGGGGCACCAGCGGAAGATGTGAGCAACGAGAAAAAAGAACGCTATAGGGATTCTTCGAGTCTTCCTGTTGCTAGTAGCTTCTATATAGCTACTAATTATAATTAGTAGTAAGAATGCTCCTAGTAGCGATGCCAGGAGCCGTTAGTAGCGTCCTTGCTCCCAGTAATGTGGCCAGGAGCCCCTAGTAACCTAGCATCCGATCGCTCCGTTCGAGTCGCGATGCCAGGAGCCCCTAGCGAACGTAGCGTCCTCTTGCTACGTTCGTAGCTCGATGGGGATTCTTCCCTGGATCTCCGAAGTTTCCAAAGTCACACTCCCTGGATCTCCACTTCACCAGCGCGGTTGTCTTCCCCAGCCAACCCTTTGGGCCGCTCCTTCCCAAAGAGCCCCGGATCCGACGTCGCGTGGTGGGCGGCCGGGGGGGATGACAGCGCTGAGGAGAGGATCATCACATCGGAAAGCAACTCTTGGCCCAACTCTTGGGTGGCGCTGTGTCTTCGACAGCAGAGGGCTTGGAGGTGCCGGGGCGTTTGGTCGAGGCCACGGAGCGGCGACCAGCTGAACCGCTGGTTCCGTGGTGATTTGCAGGTTGGGGCGATGGGGGGGGGCCTTTCGTTGGTTTTGACCTGAACCCAACCCATTGGAGAAGGGCGCCGGATTCTTAGGGTGGATCCTGCCTGCGTACTCCTTTGTAGAGAGCTCTTTGCAGGGGATTTGGGCGCTTGGTTGATATAGTATTGTTTGTGCATGACCTTGAACATGACCTTGTCCAGAGACAAACAGAGATTGGAAACGAAGAAGTCTTGGCAAATGTCTTGGGTACCAAAAAGGCAGCTGACGGGGCTAGCTGATGAGTAAAGAGCTGGCAGACAGCTGATTATTTTTGACATTTATTCGTTCATTGTTCGTCATATGATTTGTGTGGAGTAGTGCGAATAGTATCCAGGCTAGATCAAGTCAGATTCAAAGACACCAGGCTATGGTCAGTGGAGATCTGAAGTCCTCCAATCCCAACAGCAAGTGAGTCACCAACTTGTTCTCGACCTGTTTATTCTTCCGCCCTTCCCAGGTCCCAACCCTCAACTAAAGACCTGAACTCCGGTCTTGGGACACCCGCCCCACACCCAGAGTCCGGTCACAACCCGAGCCGAGAAAGCAAACCGCACGACCACGGTCCCCCGCCACGGCCGATCTGGGACTGCCGGAGACCTCGAAAGTCCCATGGAGTGCTTCGAGATTCCCAGTGTCAGTCCCTATACCTTTATGATATCATCGATAATATTAAGTAATTTGACTATCTAGGGAAACCACTGCCAAGGGAACGGGCTTGAAAAACCATGTTTTGGGGGCCGACCCCGTGCGGAAGAAGAAAGCAATCAGCGAACACACCGTGGCTGGACGTTCTGTGCCGTTTTGAACAGCCAGCGCTGCTGCTTTCAGCGAGGTCATCATCGTTTGGACGTTCTTGATCTCCTACGCGTTTTGGCTGCTGCTGGCGGCCGCTGAGTGTGTGAAGTCCTTGGAGTTAGAGCGTCTTGGGAGCAGTTGACTTAAGAGTCGCTGGTATAGGTGTTGGACGGTGTTTTGTATTTTTTGCTTATATTGACTTATGCTTTCTTTCACCCATGGTTTTGAGCCATTGCCATTGGTGGGACATCATGAGCCAGGAGGGGTGCGCTGTCATCTCAGTATCTCGATGTGGCGGTACACCGCTGTCATCTCTTCTTTTTTTTCCATGTTGGATGGGGTTGGTATGTTTTGCGTACATCCTTTCACCCCGATCATCTCTGAGGTGTCCTCGACGTGTAGCACCTTCTTCCTTTTTTACCAACAAGATAACCGCTTCCTCGCATGACAACCCTCAGCCCGTCAGCCAATCCAACCCTCGACACTCGGTGATGGCAATATATGACAATAAGTTCATTGGCACCGGCAACGGGAGTTGTTCAGTCCCCAGACACGACCGGTCTGGGACTGGCATGTCTACGTATATCATTAAGGTGCTTTCGGGGTGTGAATATAGGCCACGATCTCACAGTTTCCGATCATATGTCAGTTCTGGTGTTTTTCATGCTATAAGTAGGCTATAAGTGTGCAAGTGACAAAAGGTGATGACCAAAAGTTTAGACGATTCTCGCTTCAGGATCATCACCCAGACACTCCATGGGACTGCCGTATATGCCTACATTGACCCCCCTGGCACCACCCCTGGCCGTTTCTCGGCAGTCTTATGGCAGTCCCAAACGGGTCGTGTTTGGGTCATGTCATGTTTGGAGACGAACATCCAGGCCGCCTGTGACTGAAACAGCCCGACCCCCAGGCAGATGAATCGTGCTGAAAACCTGCTGCGTCAGTTGAAGCTCGGACGGATTTGGACTGGAAACAAGCATGGCAAACATGCAACTGACGCAAGACGTGACAGATGAGTTGGATGAAACATGTGGGTATGTTTGGATGTATTTAGGATATGGCTTCATATAGTAGGGACAAGTCGTTAATTATCGACTCTTAACATCAGAAATTTTACTGGTTTTTGAGCTTATGTACTAGTGAGTGACTGGGTATCAAGTTGTTTTGTGCAACCATGTTTGTTTCGTTGGCTGGGAGTTTGAAGTTCGAAATTGCCCAATTTCTGGGAGTCGTGTTGGCATGTTTCCAGTTTAAGAGCAACAGCATGGTAGCCAAACAACTAACCCAGCTTCAGTTTTGCTCGCCTTAAGAGGTCCAAAGATTAGGGGGCTCTTACCGTGGTTCGCAGCCAGGCCTCAGATTTACCCTAAGGATCCACATACCCTTGTGCAGGCTTGGAGGATCCAGTCGTCAGTTCTGAGAAGGTATGTGGATCCCTTCTGGCAGCGAAAGTAGATGGTGAAGACCGGCCTGCAGAGTCCTCCACCTTTTCCAACGTCATTCTTTTTCGTAACAAGAACGACCGCATGGGGTTCTTCCTCCTATCATATACCAGGACCTTCAGTTTGTGACCGGATTGGAGTCTGTACCTGGCCCTACAGGCCTAAGGACTGATCTATCGAAAGGACACTTTGAAGGTCGTACACACCACAGTACATCATATATAGACTCTTTAAACTTAAATAGATAGAGCTAGTGACAGCTGCAGCTGTGTCCAGTTGTTTTTCGGATTGTGCAATTGTGTTGATTAGAATGTCATTCATATCCTTCAACGAGCTCCTCACTGGAGCTCCTCACATGTCCTTCCAATCGACATGTGAAGCCTCTCTGGCGACCTGCAAAGATAGGTTCGTGAGGTGCTTCATCATCAAAGATCATCCGCTTCAACCATACGGCTGGCAAGCTGTGGGGTATGGATTGGTTTCACTTGAATTAGGAATTGAGAGGAATTCCGGAACACATAGCCAATGCCGTGAGCCTACTTTAAGCTGAACTAAACTCAACAAGCTTCAACGGGCAGGGGAGTTACCTGTGTGGCAATACATGACAAGCACCTTGAGAGCAACGGACGATCCAGTCCTGGCGTGAGACATCGCACCAGTGGCGATCGGAGGTGCCGGTGACGATCGGAGGACGTACATGGTCACAGAATCCACAGCCTTTGAGAAGTCTTTGGAGGATTACTGACTGGCGCGTCTTGCAGGGAATGAGGGAATGGATCCAATAGCATCTCTATTGGGGGCTCATTGCCTTATTCCCTACTAAGCACCAGTCAGGTTGAGGGGTCAAAACCGCCTTCTGAAGATGTGGGGATGGTTCGTGACCCACCTGGAGCTTGTCCTCGGTCGGCCGGAGTCTAGACGCCACTCTGACATGACCCAGACGCCATACACGGGCGCTTCCACCAGACCTTTGGAGAAGCCTCACCACCTGAAAAGAGGCCTCCTTTCTGATTGGTGACTGATTGTGATTGGCATCACGTCTGCCTGGCTGAATCTGAAAGCGGTAGACTGAGTACTCATCATCCTGGCCCGGGCCATCAATCGATGGTTTTTCAGCTTGCCATGTGCTTATCAACATCACCAGTTCATCTCCATGTTCATCCGTTGCAAAAAGCTTTGTAGTTTGACTGCCGAGGACCAGTCAGGGGTCATTGTCAAAGTGCAAGGTGCACCAGGATTTGGACTCTTGACGGCATTGGTTTGTTGTTCCTTTTTTTCGCGGAAGGAAACCATCCATGTCGACCATTTCCTTTTCGAAAGAGTCGGTTACGTGGATGGCAGGCATCATGCAGCACCCTTTTTGGTATCAGCATGACCGTCCGAAATTGGGGCCATGGTCCCATCCACATAACCATCCCAGACGCTCCATGTACATATGCCGCCCCATTGACCCCCCTGGCACCACCCCTATATATTGGCATACATGGAGCGTTTGGGCATGATGAGATTTCTGGGGAGTGTATCAGTGTATCTACTTGTCGAGATCGAGGTTTGAAGGGGACAAGAGGTGTGCACTGGACGAACGGTGAACTGCTTGGTGAACGGATTTCGGGGTTACTTGCCTTCCCCAAAATGTCGAAGTTGGAAAATAGGCACCGAAATGTCGCATGACGGAATCCCACCCAACATCCCAAGACTTGATTCCCTCAATGACTCACAGTGGCCGAACAAATTATCGCTGGAAGCTGACGACCTGTGATATGTGCTCTTGGTCCCATCAATCCCACCTCTCAGAAGAGACAAACCAAGCCCTAAGGCTTGGTTTGGCATGGTTTGGCTGGTGTTGTTCGGATTGGAATGAGTTTGGAATCCCCTTCGTTAAATGTCCGACTCCAATCCCCATCGTTTGGCTGGTTGAATCCACGGTCCAGTGGTGTTCTCGTGTTCTCATCCTTTCAGGTCCCACGACTCCACCCATGACTGCCACCCATGAATTTCATCGTCCTGCCAGCCATGCTTTCACCCACCCTGCTTCCACAGAACCAAGAGGAGCCGGCCTCACCGCACGGACACGGGTCCCGGCGGCTGGCGTCTTTTCTCTGCGTCCGTCGCACACCCATGAAAACGGTCGCACCTGGTGGGACACACCAAGACTTGAGGGTACGCAGGGTGAGTTTGGTCCACACCCAGACGAATGTCCTTTTCGATCCTTTCCGTCGCTGGTTTCCAGAGGGGACTGAGATTGTACCGGCGCCATAGAGTCTCGATATCCGTCGCGTGTGACGGGAAAGAAAGACGAGCGAACATCCGTCGCGTGGAGCGCCCGATGTGCCCGAGAAGAAGCCCAAGTCAGGCAGCCCATCGGGTTTGCACTCCTTTTTTGGGTTTGAATCCCAGCTTGTTAAACATACCACATGAATATCCTCGCGCTGGCATGACTGAGAAGGAAACCATGTGACTCCAAGGGGCATGAGACAAACCTGGAAACCCAACGAAGCAAATAAGTTTTCATTCCACCAACAACCACTTGTTATAATGCGGATCTCAATTCCCAGATTGGAACGGCCATTTGTTTCTGGGACTGGGTTTCCAGCCATTTTCATCCAAACCTCTCTGAATCATCCTCACCATCCTGCATGACAGAGGTGATTTTCTCGTTTTTCATGCGTCGAATCTCGTCCCAGGAATCAACGGCGCATTTGTCACGCACGGCCCCTTGGCCGTGTCGACACGTACCGTCACATAGAGACGCCTCTTTGCTGGTGAATTTGGATGGTTTTTAGGTCTCTCCAACAGTCCTCATGTTCATTGTGATTTGGATCAAGACAAAAGGGGAAGATCGGCACATGTCAAGGGAAGGACTGCTGAAATGTCAATCTGTTTCTTTCTTTTGACAGACGAAGAAGACTCGGACATGACAGACGAAGCCTTTTGCGCAACGGACCTGTTGAGGGAACGGGTTTTTATAGTGTTTTTAGTTTGACTGGCTGTTGTGTGGATCGTTGGCATTTTGGTTTTGGGAGTATAGTTGTATATACAGCTGAAGGCCTGCCATTTCAGTGGAGCGGGAGGCGCAACGGCACGCTGCAATATCATCCCACGAGCATCGAGCGATTGATCTTTCCTGCCAACCCATCATAGGCTCCAACCATCATCATTCTCAAGATGTTGTTTTTGGCGCAAGCTCCCTACGCTGAGCGTACGTAGAACATACCTGGAACTTCCTCAGAGTTTTTGTTTTTTCCGATCTGCTGCGGCGTGAAAACATCTTTTGGAGTCACAGCCTTATGTGAGTCTGCGGATGTTGCTTTAGTAATTTAGTTGTCTCTTTTATGATATTCCACGGGCGTTTATACACAATGATAAGGGCGTTTATTTGTGAGCCAAAGGCGTTTTTTCCCGAACATGTTTTTTGAATGGATGCTTATTTCGGCTGCGGATGTTTATGTGGGTCACACACCCCAAAAAAGGTATGTTGAACCACCGCGACCAAACAAAAACAACCACGAGGTTGCAGGTATGTATAGAACTCTACAGGATGGCGTAGCTTTATATAGTCATACATAATTACTCTAAAAGGTCTTATAGCAGCTGTAAACTGTCCAGCTGAGCATGCCCATTTGCTCTAGTATGGGTGTTCAAAGACCCTGTTTTGGGTGCGCTATGCCATTGACTCCCTGTATAGCTCAGGTTCGCCGAGCATTGAAGGAGCACGGCTGGACGGGCACTGGCTTTTTGACCGGACAGCCACAAGATCTGGTAAGTCCTTTGGACAGCAAGGGACAGCAGGGCATGCGAAAAAAGGAAGTGAAAAGGGCATCGATTTCGAACTCCTCACTGGCGGCACACGCTAAGCGGACCTGTGTAAATGTTCGTTCAATCTCCGGCATATTGATTTCAACTTGCAATGCCAAACTGCCGTCGATGTTTTCCATCATTGGGCTGAAGGCAGGACATGCAAAGGAGACCATCTAATCTAGGGCAGCTCTCAGACGGTCTAAATCAAACAACAAAAATATGTTTGTGCCGTTCGCAGAATCCAGGTAGATGTTTGTTTCCGCTACAAGGCTCCACTATTGTTTGACTTTCGAGACATTTCGAGACCTATCCCCTCCTGGTAGGAAATTCTTGGACACGTTCGCAACGTTGCGAGGAGAGCACGCGTTTAAATCCTTTAGTGCTGCTGACATCGGCGCCCTTGGTCCTTTGGTTTCGGTATATTCAGAGAATCTTAAGATACTGAATCCAAATGCCTCGTACGTAGCCGATTGGGAAACATTTGGCTCGTGGTGGGAAGCCCGGCTTCCACTCGACTCGTCCAGAATTGAGTTCTAAGCCAGTACGCGTCATGAGTATCTCCAGACTCGACCCGAATCACTAAGAAGGTATACATCTCAAGCGCGCTGATTCTCACGACTTTAGCTTTAGCCGTCGCCTCTTCATGCCTCCTACTTCGAACGTTCCACGCCAATCTCGAACGTTGCAAGGTCTCCTGACGAAGTTGCAACAAGCTCAATTTGGCTCGTTGGACACGGCCTTAGAACTCGAGGCTCGCGAACGGCCGGGTGTTCGCGAGAAGGTGATCGGGGAACGGCGAGGGGCAGACGGGACCCCTTCGCCCTGGGTCGAACCAATCCCAGACGCTCCATGGCACTGGAATATATGCCGATATATGCCGATCAAGCCAGACCCCCCTGGCACCACCACCCCTGGCCGTTTCTCGGCAGCCCCATGGAGCGTTTGGGTGGACCGGTCGGGCGAACCAAGTGTCGAACGCGGTGGGTGAAGTGGGATGTGCTGGATGTGTGGGACGTGATGTGGCGGTGTCGGCCGCTCAAGTGTGTGAATGATTGGCGCTGGATTTCATGTTGCCAAGAATGATCCATATGAGCCACGCTGAAAACCTCCCCCCGCGTAAGCTAAAACTGCGGTCGCGTAAGCTCTGCGTAAGCTTTGGCGTAAGCCAGACATTTCCAGGTTATGTCATATCGATGCTGCGTAAGCAAAGCCTGCAATGGCGTAAGGTGGCGTAAGCAGCGGCGTAAGCAACACCCCCGCGTAAGCTGAAACTGCGGTCGCGTAAGCGCTGCGTAAGTTTTCGCGTAAGGCAGTTCTTACGACATAGGAATCTATCAAGGTTTTCAGCATGGCTCATATGGATCCATATGGTCTATATAATTCATATAGTATACTGTTCTTCAGCTACTCACTGAATAGGTCTCAGCTCCCAAGCTCCCACGCGCCGTCCTTCACCTCCGGAGGCCTGTGGCCCCCTTCGCCGCTGGGCGCGATGGACCGGGCGTGTGGCGTGTGGCGTGTATCGCTCAGAGCCCATGACCTGCGTCCAAGCCGTCGGTACAGGAGATGTCATATATCGCAAGAAGGCCAACTGAACCATCAATCAGACTGTTATATACCATGGGATATGCCCAAGACATTGGGTATATCCTTCCTCCAGTCACGGAAGTGGATGGCAGGGTCCTGCTTTGCGACCCCTTGATCAACAAAGAGGCTCCACAAAGACCCGCAGTTGGAGGGAGGGCACATTTCTTTCAAAGGGTCGTTTTGGGTGGGGTGATGAGTTCCAAACAAAGGTCAAGATGGTCAAGCAAGGAAAACCTAGTCAAACCGAGTGAAACCAGGTCGTCTTTGACCTCCTGATAAGTATTGTTCTTTTGTATGACCACTGTCCAGGTCCAGTCAATTGAGGTTTCTGAGCTGTTGGGTACATGTTGCATCATGTTGCATGTGTTTTGGATTTCTCTCAGACTGGTGCACTCCGAGGCCGGGTGCTTGGGTTTCTCAGTACCTTGAACCCTGGTGCCTTCACCAATTCGTCATGACTGGGGCCCCATGTTCCAAGGTACGAACGGGTCGACTCCATCGAACGGATCGACTGCACCCACGGCGCGCATGTTGCTATCACCCTCGCGCGAATGGTTGGAACAAACAGCGGACCTTCCTCACCACATCCAAAGCTGTTACCCTCCGGTCAATTCGACCCTCTGCGACCCTTCAGGATCGAACCTTACCAGTCTCATCCATTCAGAGACAAACCTCAACCCCCATCCGGGCTCCTGGCCCATATCCTCAGGTTCGGTGGTTAGACCCCGTGGCACCCACCCCAACCACCGAACCTCAGGAGGGGGCGGCCAGGAGCCCTAGGGAACATTCAGTGAAGCCCTTTCATCACCCCCCACCCTTGCAGGCCCCGTTCCGACCATGTCCTTCATCAAGGATTTGCGGGAAAGTAGATTAGGATCCTGCATGCTTCGGTAGACCCCATGCCGACCATGCTCGAGCTGGCTGTGGCCTTGGCTGACCAGACTTGGTGTCATTCGCGGCTCGAGGGTTTGACCCATCCCCAGCTCACTCAGGTTTCTTAGTGCGTTGCTGCCAACCCTGGTGGCTTTGTCGTGAGATGGCCGTCGCACGCTTGCGGATCCACCCCTGGGCTACACCTTGGCCGGGTGGTGTGTGGAAAAGCGCGGCGGGAGGACCTCTGTTGTTCAAGGACATGAGGTTGAAGGACCCGACTTTTCGACTTTTCGGCGCGGTTGAGGCGACGGGTCCTAGTTCAGGTCACTTAAACAATATAACTAGCTTTTTTGAATCGGGTTCCTTTTGACAGTTTCTGTGCGACATCAAAGATCCGCGCATGTTTCCAGAGTTGTTTGGACATGTTCCACTATGGATTGGATGGACAGTATGGACCAGCCAGGTGGGGATGAAGAGATTCTGTGGTGAGATGGGAGATGATTCCTTGGAGCTTGTGGGTTCGTGTTGGAGTTTGGCCAGAAAGGTTTAGGCCCTGAAGAGGCATGCGTTTGACATTCTGGCACGTGTATAAGTGTGGGTCAATGAGGGACGCCTTCTCGGCCACTTTGTTCCTTCCAACTGGAGTTTGCCTTGCGTGAAGCTGCCAGATGAAATGAATCTTTTGAAGAGAAAGGCTAACCTATGGCCAACGCCATGCAACCAACATCTAAAGAGTATGTTTGGGTAGATACTGAACGGTTGTTGGTTGCTTCAGAGAAATCCACGCCATGCAACCAGCATCTAGCATCTATAGCATGAGCCATGCAGGGGGTTCAGAGGTGAGGTGACGTGAAGTCTTGCAAGATCAGCTTCTCCACCAAGGGAGTCAGGGGTGTTTTGTTGGTCTTCGAGTGCGGATCTCGGACAAGACCAGAAGTACCATAGAACTGCTGCACAGCTTTATGCTTTAGCCGTGCTGCTCACGTGCTTTGGCCGCTGTGTGTGTTTGTTTCCGGGAAGCTTGGAATAGAGATCAGTACAACACAGCTTCCTTTCTTTGGTGGGATGAGCTCACTCTCCCCCCTTTTGGACATCTCCCCTTTGTCACGCACCGCCCAGCACATACCCGCGCTCAGGAGATCTCTGGCCTGGGCGCGGCGGAGACCGATGGCGGCAAGCCACTTGGGCCGGAGGGATCGCCCAGTGGGATGGACTGGGTGCGGGGCACCTGGCGGAGGTTGAGAGGTGTTTTTTTTTCTACACCACCCATGTGTAGCTCCGAAGACTGACCCCGGCCACGAATGCCCGACCCCGAAGGGTTTGGGAAGTTTGGGGTGCAGAACCGGACATAGACCGGTCGACCGACCCCGTCTCCAGCGAGTGGAGGTCTAGGTGAAGCTCCTGAAGGACCCAATCTAAGAATCCATCTCAAACGCTCCGGACTGGCAGGACGGACTGCGAGTTCCGGCCAGGGGGTGGTTTGAAGATGTTTTAAGGGGTCCATTGATCGGCAGTCCTATGGCAGTCCCATGGAGCGTAAGTATGTGCATATAGTAACTAGGAGGCCTCACTAGGCAAGTCTTCAGTTTTGAGGATGAGGCTTGGCTTTCGGGCCCCTTTTGATTTTCACGGGTCGAAGATGGTCGAAGCATTTTGACCCGTGGTCCATCCAAGTCGTGCTATGGTTCCTATGTTGTTCACCTTCAGGTGGTTTGTTGTTCGGATGCTTTAACCCAGGCACGACTAATGGGACTGCCATATATGCCTATATACATTGACCCCTCAAAACACCCCAATGTAGGCATATATGATATATGGCATACATGGAGTGTTTGGGTAAGATCTTTAAGGTTCAATGTCGTGAGCTTTCTAACCCGTGGTTCTGACGGTAAGGCTCCTTACAGTGACTGGGATGCACTGGGCTAGTTTTGATATGTTTTGATTTTACCAGATTTTGGAAACTTGCCTCTGAGATTTTGAATCCCTGATCCATGGTTGGACGATTTTTTGAGGAACCGCAGATAGGACTGACATCCTTTTGGAACTCTCTTTCCGAAGGATGGATCCTTTGCTGTCTAACAAGTTCTGCAAAGATGGAAAAAAATAGACATCCCTTGATCCCACAGGAACCCTCTCTAGCCATCTCCAACCATACCCCTCCCTCATCCCTTCTTCTTCCTAGTGGCCCTACGGAATACCACAGAACTAGGGAAATCATGGGAAGTCTACCCACACAACCCACAGCATCGCGATGGAACTGGAACTGATGAAAAGCCTGGTGTTGCTTACAGGGGGTTGTTGATTTCTCATCTATAATTTAGGGGTGAATCCCTCCAAACCCGGAGAAACGATCTTTATTTATGTCATGTTAATGTTTTGTCCCGGCTTCCGTCATGAAGCCAAGTAAGTTAGATACTCCTAGAAACCACCCAATGCGGGTTCGACACCTGAAGAGGCTCTACATGGCTCTCCAGAGCGCCGCGGGGCAGCTGGCCGAGCTTCGACGCCAGAGCCGCGCCGAGCCGTTGCAGAGCGAAGTGCTGCGCGGCCGTGAAAACGGGGGCGGCGAAGGGCGGCCGAAGGACGCCAACGCAGAAGGGCTTAAAACCAAACCAAAAAACCTAAAAGCGAAGTGGTTTTAGGTTTTAGTCGAAGTGGTTTATCACATATTACATCCATAAAACCTAAAACCAAACCGGATCGCCCCGCGGTTGGCGGATCTGGTTCCGGTGTGTTTTGTTTTCATGGGGGCAGGCGACGGTCACACGGTTGAAGGAAGCCCAGCTCAGCACCTGAGCCTCAAAAGGACTGGTCGAATGGTAGTTTTTCAGTGAGTTCCAACTGGCCAAAGTTCAAACGTTCAAAAACGGATCCAAATGACTCTATAGGTGAACATTTGGAGCTTCAAACCCTCTACCACGTTGAACTTCTGTTCATTTGCCATGGTCAACCAGGATTGACCATTGACCCAGGTTTTGACCCTTGAGGCAAATCACGTTTGGCTGGAGCTGAGTGAGATTCATTGAAATTCCTAAATGGTTTGAATTTGATCAGGACTCAGACAAAACTCAGGAGGCACTCAGGACTCACGCCGTCCGATGCGCCTAGGCGTGAGCTCAGCATGTTAGTGAGGAGCCAGGACAGCGGAGACCGTTGCTCCGGCACCAAACTCCTGCTGCTTGATCCCTTGTGGAAACGGGTCAGAAGGTGTAGAAATGCTTGGAACAATCACAGGTGAAACAAAACGGAATTGGCCCAAAACACCCTATGTTTTAGGATAGTCACTGCAGAGACCAGCCAAACATGAACTAGGATCAGGACTGTTCTCAGTAGCTGAAAATTCGGCCAAAGCAGAAGTTCCTGAAGGGTATCTCCTTTGCATTGGGTTGCTGAAAGTTCCCTCCCTACTTGTTGTGTTGCTTTGATTGAGACTGTCCGTGAGAGCATGAAAGTCACTGGTGTTTCACTGACTTTCCCAATCGTGCTTGAACAGAACAGAGCCTTTTGGGTCAAGCTGTAGAACATCTTCTACAAGCAGAAACGGTGAGCAATCAACCGTGAGGTTTTAGAGGAATATATATATAGAGATTTGAGATGCTCCTGATTAAGAATGAAGGACACATAGCTTCTCAATTAATCTAAGTAAGATAATTCAGACGAAGTCTTTCCGGACACACCGGACACAGAGCAATGGTTCTTTGGCTTCCCACAAACAGTTTCGGGGCGCCGATGCCTTTCATCAATCTTTGGGAACTGCCGCTTCCCAGACCATCCATGAGTCGACACACACGAGGTCAACATTTGGCCATCCAATGGATGTGAAAAAGGCTTTGGATCTCGTTTTCTCCCATCGCATGGTCGTCGCATGTGGAGGATATCCTCTTGCGGCGATTGATCAGCCGAAGATATTCCAACCTTTCATCAAGGCACGGGATGTGTCCTGGGTGATGAACGTCGCAATACCATGGGATAGATGCCATGGCCGCCAGGTATTCACAACGGTATATGGTGTTTCTTTAATGTTTTCCAACATCAAGCTTTCGGACAAATTCCACACTTCTCTCAGATGGGTCGCCTGCGTGTCGGATACCGGTGCTGATCTGTTGTTCATTCCCGGACCTGAGATATATATATATACCTGCGTTGGGTCGGAGGCCAATCCTGATTCTGGGATGTCTTCCTTCATCTCCGGTTAAAAGGGTGTGTAATAAAAAATCATCAGGGAGATTGATCAGTTTCACCCCTTGGAAGAAGGAAAAGAGACCCTATATCGAATTGTTGGGGATTCATTTCTTCAATCTCCCTGGCTTCCTATTGGACGAATCTGTCCTAGTTTTTGTTGGCGAAAAGCAGACGTGCGGACTCGTCGTTTTTGCCGGGTGGATGAAAATACGGGAGCCACCGGGGGAAGGTGAAGGGAAGCCTGCGAGACGCTTTCAGACCCGCTGTTTTCATCCAGTTCAATGGCTGTTCCTTAGACAGTTCCTTAGACGTGGGTTCGACTGTTGTGCCAATGGCTGTGGGTTCCAAGCGTCCGGCAACTTGTGGGGCAGTGCTTTGCAGCACTTGCTGGGACCAGCTTAGATACCTCCGTTTTTGGTGTGTTTTCAAGGCAGATCAGTGACCAAGAATTGCTGTGGCACTGCCGGGATCACAGGTTTGGGGCATTTGTCAGCATCAATGAAGAGCAACATGATGATTGCCACATCTTCGGCCATTGTCAAAATGGTCTGACTGGTCAAGAAGGTTCGCTTGGAATTGTCCTTAGAAGGTCTCAGAGGAATCACCAATTGTTCTCCAGCCAAGAATAGCAAGTAATAAGAATATATAAGAATTATGATTCATCAACTATGGCCATGATAGTATAGGGTGTGTCCGATTACCTGCAACAGTCGGAAAAAAGAGTATCACTATATGATTTGAACTAAGGTCTTTACTATAGCCATATGATCTAGCCATCATCCACTGAAGAAGGGAATGGGATATACCGTTACCTAAGCCATGACTATAGCCATCATCTTGCTGCAGGTCCTTCAGGTCTCCACCGATCCACACCGTCCACAGCGTCGGACCCAGGCGCTTGCGACACATCCCAGAGCAAGCGAGTCTTCGACCGGCCGGGCTCCGACCGTCTCGGGCGAATCGACGACGCGGAGCGCGTTCGATGCACTTCACTCCCTTTTTTCTTCAGTTCGTGACCTTTTGAAGGTTCCTAAGCGACCCTACTCGGAGGCTTAAGTGACCGAACCAACCAGGTTATTGGAAGGTCACTTTGAAGAACTAGGTCCAGGATTCTGAGCTTTGCGCATCTCTGACTGTGGTTGTTTTTGGTCCGTCCAACGGACGGAGCGAGCATGTTCCATGTGTGAT